CCGGCCGGAAGTGGTCGGGGAAAACACAACCTCAGACCGGCCGGCGAGGGCTCATGGAACGTTGCTTGGGATGTCCGTCCTGCGCGATGGCTTCACCGTCCTTATACGGCTTGGCTTCTTTTCGGCATCTGCGCTTGCCTTGCGGCGCCGCCCCTAGAGTTTAATGAAACCACTTCGGAGCCTGTCATCGCCGATGACATCAAAATCAATGGGAATTGTATCACCACTACTTCTGAAAACTCAATAAACTATAGAATAACAGGTTTGAGATTTATTAAAAATGAAATTTTTATTACATTTCTTATACTTTTTCATAGATTATGAGGTTTTTAAATGGATATAAGTTTCTCTAAAGAAATATCGACTGAAACCTATGTTGTTACTCCACAATTCACAACAATTGCATGTAGTAGTTTTAGTTAAATTCTTCATCTTTCTGGTTAAACCTTTTGGGTTGAAGGCCACTAATGTTTGGGGATCCTGTTTATATTTCAAAACAATTCCTTTCCTCTTTTGTGCCATGTCTGTTCTTTGTTTCTATGTTCAAGCTTGGGCCTTTACCATGTTCAGTATATTAGATTGTTCTTGGACAATTAATGAGACACGAGTAGATTTAAAAGGTTAAAAGTATATCAATTTACAGGGGTTCCAGCAGATGGGAGATGTTTATTTAGAGCAATAGCTCATTTGGTTTGCTTGAGAAATGGAGAAGAGGCTCCTGACGAGAATCGACAGAGAGAACTTGCTGATGAATTAAGAGCTCAAGTAAGCTCATTTTAAAGTTCTTACCTTTTTGATGTTGTAAAAAAATTCATAGTATGACTGACATCTGTTCGATTCCAGGTTGTTGATGAGCTCCTGAAAAGACAAAAAGAGATTGAATGGTAAGCTTCTTTACACAAGTGTTTCAGTTCCCACAAATTATATCATCTCTCATTATATTACTTCTCATTCTAAGGTTTATTGAGGGAGACTTTGAAGCCTATGTAAAAACAATTGAGAAACCTCATGTATGGGGTGGAGAACCTGAGTTATTGATGGCTTCTCATGTTCTAAAGTAAGTTCTTTCTTGATTATACTTTATAAATCTTAATCATATTCAGAAAATGGTGTGTGATTTTTTTTTTTTTTTGTTGTTATCGATGAAACAGGACCACAATATCTGTGTTCATGTTGGAGAGGAGCACAGGAAACTTGTTAAAGATTGCAACATATGGTAAAGAGTATGAAGAGGAAGAGGAAAAGAAGAGTTCAATCAAAGTTCTGTTTCATGGGTATGGACATTATGACATACTGGAAGACATATGATATAAAAAGTTGTCATATTTAATAACCAAAAGGGGAGCAGATACTGACTAAATCATTTCAAGCAACGAAGACATTCTTCACAGGTTTGAGTTGGTTCTTAGCACAGGGGGCTGAAGCAAGCTCAAGCAAAAGCAAAAAGCAATATGCTTGTTTGCATTTTTGTGTAGATTCGATTCCTTTCTTTCTTTGTCTGAAGGCTCACAACTTTTTTTTTTTTTAAGGTTTTCTGTTAGCAATTTTTCGTAATTCATTTCTGCAAGGTAAAACATAAGTAGTAACTCTGAGGATAGGGTTAAAAACACAAAAAGGAGTTCATGTCTGAAGCACACATTTAGAAGTGAATTAGGTTTCTTAATTTATTATGGATTTATCTCAAGTCTATACAAAACCAGTTTGGGAATAAATTGAATATTGTTAAAATATTCTTATTGGTATTAAAATGATTTGTTACTATTTTGAAAATAAAAATGTTGTAAGCGAAACTGTTTTGTGTTTTCTACTTTTCCTTGGTAAGTGAGCCACAAGTACAAGTGGTAGTAGGTGTTGATCCTTTTGGTCATGGTATATGCTTTTGTAGATACCGTTTTTGAGTTTGTGTTGGTGGAATTATTGCTGTTGTTTTTATATTGTTGTGTAACTTGTACATCATCATCTCAAATTGTCAATTTGTTATAACTTATAAGAAAAGGCATGAAGATGGAGTGAAGGGGGTTGTGTAAGAAGAGACGAGAAATAGAGTTGTGCCAATTTTTATATGACATTATACAAATCTCTTTTTATAAGATTTGAATTCATAGAAAAGGGTGCCATTATAGCTGTATAATTCGTGATGGTGGAGAATTGAACTAATTGAAGTGTTTGGTATGCAGTAATCCAAGAGGTAAATGAATATATTATTATGGTGGAATGAAAAAAAATCATATATTATTATGGTGGAATGAAAAAAATCTTATTTGCTACAAGAAATGGAATGGAGCATTGTCTTCAAACCACTTTTTGCTGTTTGTTTGTTTTTTTAGAAAAACATCTTTAAACCATTTTTTGCTGCGCGGCGCAGCACACACGCAACACTTTCCCTCTCGCAGCAGTTTGTTTTTTAAAAGGCTTCAGACTACAAAACCTCTGCGCGTGTGTTGCATGGCGCAGCACTTGACTTGCCTCTTCAAACCTCTTCAGCCTTCATTTTTTTCCAAGTGGTTTTTTTAGAATTTTGATATAACTTTTTTTTTTAACTTTTATTTTTTTTTTAAAAAAAAACTTCGATTTTTTTAAACTTTTATTTACGGATTTGATACAATTTCTTTTTATAGTTTCCACAAAATTTTTTAACTTGATTTATAAAAAAAACTTTGATTTTTTTTAATTTTTTTACCTTTTCTGTTAATAATATTTTCAGTTTCAGTTGTATATTTTTTAACGTGTGTAATTTTTTTACGAATTTTGTAGACATTGTTTGTAATACTTTCTTAATTTTGTTTTATTATTTTTGTTTTTTATGTGTTTTACAATTAGTTTTTTTCTAGAATAAAACAGTTAGATTCTTTTATATTTTTTTAAGTCTTTTTTTAAAAAGTTTTATATTTTTGTTTTTTTTACATGTTCTTTTTAGTATTTTTTCAATGTTTTAAGACTAAAATTATTAAAATTTCGGTGTTGAAAACTATTTTCAGTTTATAAAGTTAGTTTATTTAAATTTTAGCTAACTGCAGCATTCTGCAGATATTAAAAAACAAACGCGCTTCTTATTATAGGCTGCAGCCGTTTGTTCCACCTCTTCTGCTACAGAGGGTTGCAGAGATGGTCCGCAGACTTAATGAATTTTCTCTTCGAAAAAACAAACAACACATTAGTTTCTTTCCATGGAAGGGGTTTTTTCATTAAGTATGAGAATTAAATGGTATATTTTTATAATTATAAATTATTTTTATTCATATAGCTTTCAATAGTATTAATCTTTTAAAAATTTTAAAACTTCAATTAATATATATATATATATATATATATATATATTCTATTAATAATTATATTTCAAGATTTCATTGCATCTTAATCTTATTATTATTATTATTATTATTATTATTATTATTATTATTATTATTAGATCATAGATAAACCTTTTTAAACTACATGTAAAACATGTAACATGTATTTTGAACCAAAAAAATTATGTTATAACTACATCTAAAAACATGTAACATGTATTTTGAACCAAAAACTTTATGTTTATATGCCACTAGGTGTGAGACCCGTGTACTACACAGCTTGATTAAAATAAAAGTTAAATATCAAAGTGTAAATAATATAACATCAACAATGTGTTTTAACTCAAGATTAATTATACAATCATCATGCCGTATTATAAAATATAAATTTTAATATAAAAAAAATTATACTCATACATAGTAATATCAGTGTTTTATTTAAAATATTTATAATGAAGTAATTTAGTTTGCTAATAACTTCTATTATTTTATTATTTTTAAAAAGATGTTTAAACAAATTTTATTTGGAAAATAAGAAAACAAAGAACAAAAAATCTAAGAAAATTTATAAAAAAAAGTATGTTAATACCATAATTTTAAATCCGTATAACATATATAGATACACTGAAAATTTTTTGAAAAAATAGAATATATATGAATTTGAATGCCAAAAAGTAGCATAATTTTAGGCTAATAATATCGAATAAGAAAAATAAACAGAAAATTGATTTAAATAACCTTAAATGTAGGAATTGAAATTTGGAAGGAACGCGTAATCTTAAATCCTCATAAATACATAATTAAGTGACATTTTTAAATAAAATTGATAAATACAAGAGAATGACATGTGGATTTTATTAAATTAAAAAACATCATAAAATACCAAGTGTCATGACAAAATACATGTGACAAAAAAACATTGATGATTTATTTATTTAAATATGTATCTTTTTCTAATTAAAGTTTATTATTCTAAAATAATATTTGTTTATTTTATTCATATCATTCTTTTATGCCAACCAAACAATGAAATAATGAAATGTAATGATCTATTTTTATTTTATTATGTTATCCATACTATTCCTTGGTCATTATATTTCATCATACCAAATAAACTCTTATATTTTATTCATATTAACTCATTTAGATATTTTTTTTAATAATTTCATTAATTTTATATAATTTTTTTTTGAATCAAACGCACATTAAAACTTCAACATATCGATGTTATTTACATCAAATTCAACCAAAATGACTTTTTTCATTCTTTTATTCCTCTTCCAACCCATTAAGTCCTACAATACATTATGCAATGGTGATAAAGTCGACGACTAATTAATTATTGGTATAGGTTTTAAATGTCTCCATAAGTTGGCATTTAACTAGTTGTATATTATTTTGTGAGAATTTTATAGCATTAAAACACATGAAAAATGGATATTGGAATTCGTTTAATTTTTGTTCACATGACATAATTTTGTACGTGCATATAAGATAGATGCACCAATAGAAAATCGTTTGAAAAATCAAAACGATACTTATTTTCTGGATCTGCTACTTTTATTATTATGTGAAAACAACTTTGCAACCAGCCAACCACAATGTAAGTGCTTGTGCACATGTATACTGAAAGAATGACTTAATTAATTCCTTGTAACAAAATTTTAACAACAAAACAAATACGCAACAACATTAACATGTTTGTTTGTATCTTCGTAAATTGAAACTCTGATATTTTTTCCTATAGTTTTCAAGAATTGGGGACAAAAACGCCAATGTAGCCAAATCCAACGATGAAGAAAGCCATAGCTTGTAGGAAGAGATATATGAAGTAATGGTTCTTCCCAAATGACAAATCATAGCACCCACACAAGAAGAGGTAGACCCCCACAAATATCTCCAGCACATATACACTGTAGAGATTATATCAAATCAATATGTAGAAAGAAAAAAATAAATTAAAAAAATCAAAGTCAAAACTATCTATTTATGTGTTGCAAAAATTTACAATTTACCTTTCTCCAATTTGTAGTCGAGGTTTTTTTGTAGATTTGGAACCCGGTTTGGCTTTTAAAGCTTCTCCAAGTTTCTTAGTAACTACCCATTCATTAACCCTTGTTCCAGCCTCAAAAAGACCAATGAATGTTCCTTTAGTCCGATGCAAAGACATGACATTCTCAAAAAGAATCCAGAAAACTAACAAATGAAATGATCGTGGAGTTCCAACTGCATTAAGTAAAGAGACAATCGAAGGAATATAAATGGCACCCCATTTAGGAACTTGCACTTCTGGCACAAACACCGTTGCGGGCAATACCACACAGTAGAAGATAAACGTGACAAGATGTGCAACGATTTTTCTAACAAAGAAGAAACTGTATATCACATAAAACTTCTTCCACACTGTCACTCTCTGCATCATGATTCATGAATGAAGTTAATGAGCATATACATGATTTGTTAGAACTTAGAAATCTTGAAGATAGAATAACAGTGTCATGAATTAAACCTTGTTTCTTGCGATTTCTATGATCATTTTCTTGAAGAGGTTAGCCGGTCCACAAGACCATCGATGTTGTTGATAGCGGTATGCTTGGAAAGTACTTGGTAATTCATTTTTCACCTTACAAGTTACATATAAAATTGTTACATTCACATATAAATTAAATCTTGTAAAAATATGTATATATCAATAGTGGTAGATCTAATTAAAGAGAATTTTAGTTAAAGCCAAGTTTTTATTTATACCTTGAGGTCACCAACATAGACAAATTTCCATCCTTTAAGACTCACACGGACTGCTAGATCCATGTCTTCTACAGTCGTCCGGTCTTTCCATCCACCAGCCTCATTAAGAGCTGAAATCCTCCAAACGCCCGCGGTTCCTACATTCAACAACATATGTTATAAATCTCAAACCACATTTGATGTTAATTAATTCTTCCACGTTTAAGAAAGACTCTCGATTATGTGGGTCCCAAATCTTTACCATTGAACCCGAAAAACGCATGTGTCGCGGATCCTGCCTCTTGTTCCACAATAAAATGATAATCTAATGACATTTCTTGCATTCTTGTCATCAAACACTCATCTGAGTTCACTGCACGCGATAAAATAAATCTATCAATCTTTTATTTTTTTGAAATAATTAATTAAATTAGGTTGTTATTTTATGTAAAACGCGCGAATACCGAATTTCCAACGAGCTTGAACGAGTGCAAGTTCAGGGTTGTGTGCGAGGAGAGGGATGGTGCGCCAAAGGAAGTCAGGATCGGGCTGGAAATCAGCATCAAAAATGGCCACAAACTCACATTGGTTCACGTAAGGGTGCTTCATGCCTTGTTTCAGAGCACCAGCTTTGTACCCATTTCTATTGCCTCTAATTTCGTACTTAATGTTTATTCCTTTTCCTGCCCATCTCTTGCACTCTAACTCCACTAAATCCTGCATCTCCAAATTAATTTAATCAAAAACAATACAATAATTAACATTATAATTTTTCTATATTATAATTCACTAAACATGTGTTGTACATGTAAGGTGCATATATATTTGGATTTATATCGTTAGGAAGTGTAGAATTTGACAAAGGATTTTGATGTAAAATTTTACATATATATGTTATAAGACCATGAAGTTTTGTAATGTAACGTTTCTAATTATAAGCTAAATGTTAATTGATTATATCAATGGAAATTTCATAGACTATTTGATAAAGAAGTGAAAAATGAAACCTTGATGATCGGATCTGTGGAGTCATCAAGAACTTGAATTATGATTCGATCAGACGGCCATGAGAGCCCGCATGCTGCTCCAATCGAAAGTTGATACACCTACAAACACACAGAAAATCTATTAAAACCACAAGTAATCTCCGAATATAAATGAAAAACTTGGGATAAAAACAAGATATAATGTACCTCTTTTTCATTATACATTGGTATTTGTACTAAAACCATAGGATAACACGGATTACCGATCTCCAAATCTTCCTTAATCGCCTCCCATTTGTATCTTTTTTCAAGCTTATATTTCATCAACTTAACAACAGCAATAATAATACCCATACAGACACGCTCCACGAACAACATCACAGACATGGCTAAGCACATTATCACCATAATTTTCATAAATGGCACGATCAATGGCGCCCGCACTTGCTCCCACATCATTCCCATTTGCCCGAGTCCAGTGCCCGAGAAAACCCTCTCCATTTTCTTCCTATTCAATTCGTGGTTTCTATACTCTAGAAATTGTAGAAAGATGATTTATATATGGTTATATACTCATGACATTTAGATTAGAGTAAAGAGATGATGTATATATAAGGAGTGTTGATGGGTTGTGGTGAGTTTGCTTTGGATGTGGAGGGTGTTTGAGTTTTGCTTGTGACACAAGCACAAGTTGTGTGTCAGAAACACAATCGAGTGTCCATGGAAGCTCTATGAGTGTGATGACATATTTTCGATCTAAGTTAGCTCACAATGTGAAAAGGGAAGGCTCAAAAGTGAAACTACACTTGTTTTTTAAGTTTTTTCTTTTTTTCAACAATTGAATCAGAATTGAAACCCACAATATTAGGCCCTTTGACATGGGTAAATAAAAATTAGCCTTTATAAAAATAAAATATAGACAAAGTTCCATAAATAGTCCTTGATGTTTTCAAAAATTCGCAACTGCAGTCCATTTAAATCAAATTTGGTACATTCAATTTTATTAACTATTTTTTGCATTCCTGGGTTTAATCCAAATTCATATATTGTAGAGTAGGTGCACTAAGATTGAAGGGCAAATTAAGATACATGAAAATGAAATGGCAACTACAAGAAATCATTCATTTCTAACACAATGGTCTAATGTCTCAATCGTTGAACTACTACTCTATTCAACTAGTGCTATTATTAGTTTAGGTTCAAGCTATGCTACAAGATTAGATGGTTTTAGATATATAAATACGAAATGTATTTTGTATTGGCAAACGTTCAATTACCCACGTAAAAATAAAAAGAAAATAGATTAAAAAACAAAACCGTAAGTGTATTTCAATATATTATTTACTAGTTTATAATCCGTAGAAATAATGGTTACAAAATTAATTAAATTTTCATAATAAAAACTCAAAATTATTAATCAATTACTTTAAATAAATTATTAATTAATAAATATTTTTTGATTATATAAAGTTATAATCATTGATTTAAACAAATACGTGGCTTTATAATCTGTAATAATTTTATTTTAATTTTTATTCTAATATTATTAATTTAATGTAATTAGAATGAGAAATTTAAAATTTAAAATTTGAAATGAAGAATCAATAGGTTGGCAAGTGATATGACATTAATTAGAAGACTTAATAAGGTGACACATGATAAAAAAAATAATTAACTTATTCTTTTATTAAAATATAGAAAGGGAGATTATATATTTGAACAAAAAAATGTGATAATGGTTATGCTTATTTTTTATATTATATCATTATCTTATTTTTATATATTTTAATCAAGTTACTTAATATAAGATGTTAGCATTTATATATATATATATATATATATATATATATATATTTTGTTGTAAATAATTGGTGGTGTGGTAAATAATTGGTGGATGACATAATAATTGGTGCATGGTACATTTGTCAACATTTCTAATTAGTTACAATTATATGTTAGTAAAATTTGTAGTATAAATACCCCTCCATTGTAAAGAATCTGATACACCAAAAAGTTATAAGAGATATAATTTTCATATTCTCTCTAAATATTCTTTCTTCTCAATTAAAGTTCTTATCAAAGTTTACTAGTTTGGTTTGATTTATAGTTACATTAATTACGCTTAATTCATAACACGTTATCAGCACGAAAGCTCTAATCAAGGTTATTAAACAAGTGGAAAATCATATCTATCTTAATCAAGGTATGTATTACTTATTAAAAACACTATTAATTATAAAAACCTCAATCATATTAAAATAATAATAATACTAATGAATTAATGAAACTTATACATTATGGACTACTAATAATTTTTATTTCTTATACTAACATTTCTTTATGTATACTAATTTTTATACTAACATTTACATTATGCAACTAATTTTTATTTATTCAAACTAACATTTACATTATGCAACTAACTTTTATTTATGCATACTAACATTTATATTATGCTACTAACTTTTATTTGTGCATACTAACATTTAAATTATATTTATTTATACATGTCAATGTTTATTTATATTTTAGATACTCTTCATAATTTTATTTACCGATAATAGCGCTTATCGAGGGAATTCGTGAGTACATGCAAAATACTTTTGTTGAACGAAGTATAATTGCAGGTATATTTTTGGATGAAATATAAAAGAATTAAATAGGTTGTACAACAACCTTTTGTAACCATATTTAATTTTCAGGGAGTTTGACTGGTGTATTAACACCGTATGCTGAAATGCTGGTTCAAAGAAGGATGCAAAAGTCTGTTCGTTGGCAAGCAACACATATCCCCCAACATATATCCTCTCCCATGCCGACATATGTGTATGAAGTGTTTGATTTTAAAACAACTTGTGTTGTTGACCTTAAAGCTTATACTTGTTCATGTGGAAAATGGAGCAGTCTCGGAATAGCATGTGGTCATGCCATCACAGCAGCACGTGATTCAGACATGCATGACATTGTTAATTTGGTTCAAGTATATTACCATGCCGATGTATATCAGCACATCTACCAGACACAAACCGTTCACGCAGTTCCCCCACCAGCTGAATGGGAAATCCCAGACCCTTTGATGGTTGTTTTATTGCTGATGTAATTTTTATTCCCTTTAAATAATGATGTTTGTAATATATTTGTCCTTGTCTATGTAATATATTTGCTGTTGAGTTTGTAATATATTTGTCTTTGTCTATGTAATATATTTGCTGTTGAGTTTGTAATATATTTTTCAATATATTATGTTTGTAATATAGTTGACAATGTGTTTGTAATAAGTTTGAAATACATCATGTTTGTAATCAACAAAATTGAACATAACATAAAAGTAAAGGAAATTACAATTAGAATTAAACATAACATTGTTAAAGGAACGTCTCACCACCTATTACATAGTTAAATTGGTTTCCACAGATTAGGAAACTGTTTGGGATACAAGTTTTGTTCACGGTCGATAAAATCCCCTCTAATTCTACAACATCTAATAGACGATCCCGTTCTGCTTGAAGCTTTTGAAACTCCGTATTTGCATTTCGAATCCACTTCTTAGCTTCCTTGATATTTTTTGTAGTTTCAGCAATCCATTTTTCTTTTTCAATTACTTGATCTGCTATGTCGTTTGCACGTTGGTTGAGTTTGCGACTAATTTCAGAGTCCCTTACGTTGGCTTCTTCAGCAGCCTTCATAGCATGGAAAATGTCGTCAAGCATGTAATCTGGGAGTGGGAAATCTGGGCCTTCAGGAATTGGGTTTGTATCGGAACAAACATAGCAGTCTTCGTCTTCGCAATGCCAAACACCGAAGTCATATGAATTCATTTTCAATTTTAGAATGTTGTAGTGTATCACGTATAAGTTCTATGTTAGTTGCATATTAATAGTTTGAGAGCAAAAATCACTATTGGATAAGACAGCAGGTAAAGTATTAGTCAAGTGCGACTAGACAGTAGTCAAAAGCTATAACATAGTAGTCAAACTACAATCGTGTGTCAGAAAAAAACATAACATTACTGATAAAAACGTAAAGTAGTAGTCAAATACACTTAACATAAAAATCATTTGAACTTAGAATTACTAATAAACATAACATAATTCTGAAAGGAAATTAGAATTACAAATAAACATAATATTACTGGTAAACATAACTACTAATAAAATTAGTCTAAGTAATTAGTAACGTGCAAATGGTGGTACGACGACCATCTTCTCAGTTAGTATTTCCCAATGCAGAAGAATTGGAATAGGATTAATCGTCTCCGCTTGGAATGCATGTCGATACACCGCAGAAGTCAACCTATAATTAACCAATTGTTGTTTCTCTTCAACTGTAAGCCTTCTTAATGATGATATACCATGTTCACAGGGTATGCCGCATTTTTGCCATTTGCCACAAGTACAAATACCACGTTCAACTTGTACCGTTTGTATGGTTAAATTACAACGCACTTCAAATTTGTCACTACCAATATGTGTAACCTCATAACCATTAGATTGGTTCATTATCCGTTCAAACACGTGTTGTGCATAAGGGGTAAGTTGACCATGCATTCCACCTGTGTAATTAATTTACTTAAAATTAAAAAGAGGACGGAGTAACGGAAAAGAAAGAAAACAATTATTTATTACCTCCAAATTCAGCTCGTTGCGCGTACACCATTTGTATTGACTGATGGACCAGTTCAATGATTGTCGTTATTGGTAACTCGTGCGTGTTTGATCTAAGCCAACTCAATCCAATCGCAATGCTAATGTATTTAACATTGAAATGGACTTTAGGAAAAAAGGCTCGAGCCCATTTTGCCATTGGGATATTGTCAAGTCAGTCAAGATCATACCCATTAACCTCATTTTTTAAATTGTTTAAACAAACGTAAAATTCAAACAAACTATAAGTTTTGCATGTCTTCCAGAACAACTGTTCGACAACGATACTTCCTGTGGAAGCCCGAACTTTATCGGCTATATTTTTACAACAATACCCATGATAGGAATCTGGGTATACTTGCATAATGGTGTAGCCTATCGAGTCAGACATATGGCTTATGAAACCAACTTCAGTAGTGTCACCTAAGCATTCTTTCAACCTTCTCATGAACCAAGTCCAAGCCTCTTCACAGTCAACACTTCCCAAAGCGAATGCTATGATCAAGGGTTCATGATTACTGTCCAAAGCATGAGCAACATACATTGTTGTTATGTTGGTCCCAATAAGGGGTACATGAGCAACAAATAGTGTTGGTATCATGGTTGTGAGAAAGGTAGTAATCTGTAAGAAAAATGGCAACATTACACAAATCTGAACTTGAAATAAATAATAACATAATATAGAGTAGGAGTTACCACGCATCCTAATGCGACAAAACAAAATTGAAACCTGTCTCTCATGTCTTTCTTAATGATTGTGAAAGAGTTACGATTTGTTCTTTGAAGATTATGTAAGAGTATCGGTAGGTTGGAAAAGCTTTGTTTGTATATCTCATTAAATCCACTCATTATGAGAATTGGTATGTTTCAATGAATTTGGTCGAGGCCATATAAAGGGATTTCATTTCAAATAGAATTCGGTCAGAAACGTTG